AGCACAGGCTCTGGACGTGCAGGCCCAGCGGCCATGGCCCACGGGCCCAGCCGCTCCGCGGCATGTGGGATCTTCCCGGACCGGGGCACGAACCCGTGTCCCCTGCATCGGCAGGCGGACTCTCAACCACTGCGCCACCAGGGAAGCCCCCACAATTAGTTTTAAATGTTTCCATCTATGGACAGGAGCTAAGCCCACCACAGAGACAGGTGGTTAACCAGGAATCAAGAGCAGATCCTGACAACATTAAGATCTACTTTACTAGGATACTTAGAGTGGAATTTTATTCAACAATAAGTTAGGTAACAAAGATATAATAATGAAGAAAACAGGTAAGATTTCCTACCCTCATGAAGTTTACATTTTATAGAGGTAGGTAAATACAGGCTATGGAGCATAGTTACAGAACACAACTTTTCAGACTTGAAAGGTAACCTAATTTCTATCCTTATCTAGGTCCACTTCCATAAACAGCTATCCTAGCATTTGCTCTAATTAATTCCTGAACTTGTCTCTTTTTTTTTCTTATTCACTTTTTCTAGGAAATTTTTTTCCCACATATTCCTTTTCTTTGTTCCTATATTCACTTCTGGAGCCATTCTGGTTTTAAGTCCTCATTCATTTTTTTAACATCTCATGATTCCCATATCCAATTCAAGTCAATATGAATTCAATATTTCTAGGTTCCAAAGACATCAAAAGGAGAAAGGGCAAGTCTCTCCACTCAAGGAGATTTTATTTCTGCAGGAGTCCATATGTCCTCAAGAAGCTGTCAGACCAGGATGAATGTATGATGGCCCACACGGGAGGCATTATGTACTGTGGTGGTAAAAAGGCTATAACAGAGGACAGTTTCCAGATTCCTAGAACAGAACTGAAATCGCTTTCAGTTGGCAGGCATCAGGAAATGCTTATAGAGGAAATCTAATGAATTTATAAGAAAATTAAATTAAATTAGATAAAATTTAATGAGTAAACATTAAATTCAAGAGTAGGGACTGTGTCTGATTCCTCATTTTAGCCCTAGTACCTAGAACCAGAGCCTGGAATGTGGTAATAATTTAAGTACACAACAAATATTTGTTGAACTGATCTTGAATGATTGGATTAAATCCTGGACAACTAGTAGGACTCCAATTAAGTAAAGCTGGGGCAAACAGAGCAGGTCTTTTCGAAGAAAAGAAAGACATGACGTGAGCAAAAATAAGAAAAGAGGAAAAATGTGAGCAGAGGGTAGCCTAATTTGGATGGTTTGAAGTGTTTACAGAAAAGGCCTATTTGAAAGTTTACTGATTTTATATGAGACATGCTGGTTTCAGCATCGTGGTGAAAGCGTGTGCCCCATATCAGGGAAAAGGGGGGAAGGAGTAGGTCAACCAGGCAGACTCAATTCAGATGCCTGGCTGCATGAGGCTAATAAGAAGGGGCCCAGGAGAGAAGTTTCAGGCTGGAGAGAGCAATACTGTAGGGAGAGAGCTAGAGGAACAAAGAGTGAGACCCAAGTCGGGAGGAAGACAGGACAGGCGGGGTAGGACCTCAGGACCAAAATCACAGGAGTAGGAAGCACTGGGCTGGGTGGACACAGGCCTCATCTTGGCTTTGCCATTAACTCTTTACTTTGGGGGCAAGTCACTTACTTCTGAGTGTGTTCTCTCATCTGTGAAATGGAGATGAAACTTACATCATACTATCATGTCTAAATAAGACAACTTTTGTTAAATACCTGACATATACAGTGTACCACCATAAAAATAAGTATGTTTTCATAGAATTATATAGAGAATATGTTTACTTATAGAAGATATAGCAGTATTGGGTTGGCCAAAAAAGTACGGAACATCATATGGAAAAACCCAAACGAACTTTTCGGCTAACCCAATACACTGATTTTCTAGGGCTGCTGTAACAAAGTACCACAAACTGCTGGAGTAAAACAACAGAAACGTGTTCTCGCATCATTCCAGGTGCCAGAAGTACAAAATCAAGGTGTTGGCCGAGTTGAGTTTTTCTTGGAGGCAGAATCTTGCCTCTCTCTTAACTTCTGGTGGTGGTTGGCAATCCTTGGTGTTCCCATGCTTGTAGTCGCCTAACCCCAAACTCCGCCTCTGTTGTCACGTGGCGTCCTCCTTGTATGTCTCTGTGTGTCTCCTTTTCTCACAAGGACAACAGTCATATTGGATTTAGGGCCCAATCTACCCCGCTATGACCTCATCTTAACTAATTACATCTGCAAAGACCCCATTTCCAAATAAGGTCACATTCTGAGGTTCCAGGTTGGCAGGAATTTCAACCCGGCATAAGAAGTATATTCCTATTTTTTATAATAGCTTCGACAGGCTATTATTATAAGAACTAGGACTTGAGCCTTAGAGGGGAGGGGGACAAAATGGTTGAGATCCCAGGTCAGGAAATCTGAATTCCATCTATTCCTCTTCCCACGTGTGTAGCCTTGGAGGCTACACCCTCTTTAGTGGTTAGTCTTCTCATCTGATAAACAGGGGGCAGACCTTCAGAGTGTTTGGGGAGGACTAAGGGAAGTAATGCGTGTGATGCACTTAGCATGGTACTGGCCCAGAGGGATGGTGCTCAGCTCACTCTAAGGAGGCCAACCTGTGCTGCAGATGGCAGGGGGCGGGGGGACAGGGCAAGGTTTCTGCTCACGTGAACGTGACTCACCATTCATCCAGACGCAGGCTGAAAGCCACTCTCATCTTTACAGTCTAGTGCTCTGCCACTAAGATTTCCCCAGGCCAGCTTGTTCAATGCTAACTCGAGTGATTTACCACCACTCTTGATCCATGACCCGTAGAAATGCCAGCTCACTGGTCACTGTCCAATGTCTAGCATTTCAGTTCTCCCGTCAGCTTTATACACTATATTATTGGACTCCGAAAACCAACTGCTTAATCGTCATCGTCAACTTCTTCTTAAGTTATATTTGGAAAGAACAATTTAAAATATATGTAAATAAATAATGCCTTAACTTTCATAAATTTGTAATACATTTATGTAATGTATTTGTAATACATTATCTTGCTAAAAGATAATGTATAATGATAATACATTATCTTGCTTTCTAACTCTTTCAGGTGGAAAACCAGGTAGTTTACTTACATGACTTAAATACAACACTTTGCTGTATCCTGACTGGTGGGAACACCTTCCACAGTACTTGCTTATGTTAGCCGTATTCTAGGAGTTCATTGTTGGTCAGCTGGTAATGAAATACGCAAATTTGAATCAGTTACGCAGTTTGTGGTAGTCACTATCTTATCCATAAAGAAGGCTGACCATAGTAGTACCTTTGAATAGACCTGAGACTTGGACTGAAGTTATATTGTCAAAATCTGTATTGGTCTCCTGTTGGTTTGCTCGATTTAACACTCGGTTTTGTCAGCTTGCAGTTGGTTTTCCAGGGTGCTGTACTGAGAAGCTTACAGGGGGAGTAAAATCTGAACATTACCTTTGCTATTCGTGAGGCACTTTTATATCATGAGTCCATACTCTTGCATTCAACTGATGTTACGGAATGATGTATAAATGCAGCAGGGCTGCATAGTGCCCTTTAACTCCCAGATGGGCAAATAGTCTCAGGATTTTAAGAAAATGATTTTAAGAATTGCTGTATGCTCTTGCCTGTTATAAAGTTCATGGATAAGCAGGCAGGCAGGGATTCTTACTGACTGATGTCTAAGGTAAGCAAATTATGCATTAATTTCAAACCTTAGGAAGCCCAAGGTTGTGTACCAACTACCTGAATCTAGAAAAGTGAAATGCAACAAACTTCCTGCCAATTCACAAGTCGTAGATGCTTTAGATTTTGTATTTGGGATCTACCTGAATTTGACTGTGTCTACGCTCTCATTTCCACTTACTTTATAGTTAAGTACAGTCATTTTCATTTGTAACAGCTACATATGACAGGCAAGGAAACACTTAAAACCACAAGCGATCTTGGAGCATGTGTGTGAAAGATGACATGAGACTGCTTTTGTCTTCTGAGCTCATTCCTAATTTCTGTGTCCGAAGTATATCAGCCGCCATATATGTCTTTTTTTTGGTTTTGTTTTGTTTTGTTTGTTTGTTTTTGTTTTTGCTGTACGTGGGCCTCTCACTGTTGTGGCCTCTCCCGTTGCGGAGCACAGGCTCTGGACACGCAGGCTCAGCAGCCATGGCTCACGGACCTAGCCGCTCCGCGGCATGTGGGATCTTCCCGGACCGGGGCACGAACCCGTGTCCCCTGCATCGGCAGGCGGACTCTCAACCACTGCGCCACCACGGAAGCCCCATATATGTCTTTTAACAGAACCCAGATTTCGTGAATTTGTGGCTTGCCTGAACTTACTTTTTAAAAATCCTGGATGCACTGCAGATGAAAATGATCTCTATTACTTTAGAAATTGCACTTTACAAAATAAAAAAGATGAACATTTTTCAGGTTAATTTCAGAACATTCTAAATCCCAGGAATGTTTATTGACGTAAACCCACATAGATTAAGCAATTTAGAGATTTGGGGCAAACAGGCACCACTTTGCAGTAGGCTTGGAAAAGAGAAAGCATTTCAGCACATGTTCCGCCACAAAGCATTTGGCAGTCTAAGTTAGAGCTTCAGATTTCCTTCTGAAAGGGACGAGAGACTTCCTGTCATTCCTCTGGGTTTCTGCATGTGACACCGATGTGCACAATGCAAAGTGTAAACAGATGTAAATGGTGAGGGAGGGAGCCCGGCCAGTGTGTGGTTCTACACACTCTCCACACCCTGCTCTGGGCGCAGTCCGCCTCTCCTAGGAGTCGGCAGCGGACATTTCCACCCAAGTCACAGGACGCTTGACTGGTTTATTTCACCAATATTTACTTATGGAAATCAAGGGGCGTGGCCGGGGAGGGAGGAGGGGTCTGGGGCCGAGGGGCTCCGACCGCAAAACAGCACCAGTAACCTTATCTGCAGGGATCATTAACCTTTCTGGAAAACGCAGCTGGCTGTACTCTGAGGTTTGTCCTCAGAATGTGAAGAGCGCCACACAGATACCGCAGAGACTGTTCAAAGGCTGTTGGGTTTACCTTGCGAGCTTTTGCTCCACCGTAGTGTGGCAGAAAAATGAGATTGCAACAATTCTTTTTTCTGTTTCTTGTTTTTATGATGAGTCTTCTACTCACCCCCGGACAGAGACCAGGTAGGACCTGGATGGATTTGTACCGAGTGACTTGTTTTCGTGCCTGTTTGTGTGAATGGGCCTCTGAGCATGACTGTGTCTCTGTCGGAAATCGCGTAGGTGTGCTTGGGGGTGAGTGTGTAGGATTTCAGAAGTATGTTATCTATCCCGTTAGGTCTGTTATTTGGCTATTTAAAAAATAGCTGGATTTTAGAATGATGATAAATATCTGACCACTATTTTTCTAAATTCGAAGAAAATTGATTCCAAAGCTATCATAGATATGGTGTCCTTATAAGTAAAAAGAGAGCTGTTATTTCTAGATATATAGTTAGATGTGTCACTTTAAAAAGTGCCATTTTAGTATTATTGTGCTTACAGAGCCAAGAAAAGTCAAAAATATGTGTGGTCAAGATAAATAATATTAATTTACTTGACACATTTTTCAAGGATTATATCAGTCATGTTGTTCTTAACTAAGAGGGATTTAGTAAACAAAGTTATTTTAAAGTGCTTTTACTTCAGAACCAAATATCTAAGATTTCAAAGCGCTGCCAAGTAAAAAAGAAAAAAAAATTAGAACGTTTTCTAAGGAAAAAGCCAACCCAAATTTAAATAGAAAGGTGACACCATTTATATCGAAATATGTTAGATTATTCACTTGATAATATACTTCTCCATTTACAACAGAAAATGGTGCATAACTGGTTAAACATTCAGTCTCTGCCTTTTAGTTAGAAGTTTGATCACTGAGACTATTTCAAATGACGTTTCCTGGTCTGACCTCTTTACATAAATAAGAAAAAAGTTTCAAGTTAGCAATTCAGAAAGCAGCTGATCCCTTCTTACTGTTTATAGCAGTTGCTATTCAAATTGTTTCTCCTCTCAAAATACAGAGCAACTTGGACAACAGTCTTGTAAAATATTTGTGATTAATTCACTACGTAAACTAAGAAGTCTAGAAACATTTAGAAAGAAGTCATGTAGGAGAAGAATTTTACTATTAAATCCCACCATCAACAATGAACTGTTAGGAATACCCGTCCTGAATTTGCATTCCATTAATTTTTTATATCACAATCACATCTGAACAGAGAGCAAATAATCACAGTATAATTTAGATCGAAAGTATTCCCTCACAGTCTACAGATTAAACAACAACTAATTTTCTGTAAATGCCCCTGATATTTTCCTCTTTTTTTTTTTTTTTCAGCTAATTTGGCAATGAGAAGAAAATTGCACAGGTACAACTGCCTTCAGAGGAGATGTATGCCTCTCCATTCACGAGTGCCCTTCCCCTGAGGTATTTCTGATGGAAAGAGTTTTACTACATTTAGGCAATGCTCCAGATTAGATATACCTGACAATGCTTAAATGGCTTTAGAGTGATGTCAGTTTAAGGAATGCATACTAATGGTTTGCATACTAACAGTGAAATGAAATGATGTTTGGGAATGGCTTTAATCATTTAATGGGATGGAGGAGGAAAACGTAGGAAAATCTTGATAATTGTTGAACCTGAGTGATAGTTATATGGGGATTAATACCATTGTGTGTGTTTGAAATTTTTCATAATTAAAAAAATCAGGCACGAGGAGAATGTAATTAATTATAAAGGTATCTTTAAACACGTGTTCTGAAAATCTCTGACCACCTCTCTGTGCTCGAAAGCATTCGCACACGTTTGCCCAACACCACCAAATGGATGATCTGTTGGCCTCAACGCTTAGTAATTTATTTTTCCTGAAAATATTTCTTTTCATATATAAAATCAACTTAATATTAATGACATGGCAGCTTTCCAGCTTCACTAATAGAGTTGGTCATGATGGTTGCATCTTTAAGGATAAATTCTGAATAGAATTTTGTTCCTGATTTTACACTACCACCATCACCAGTAATACTGCTTGAATCAGTTAACATCAAACACCGCCCAACTTTGTTACTTCACACTAAAAAATAAGAAACTTGACATTCCATTGTAATTATTTTAAGCTCTTTAATTCACATGAAATATAGCTTCCTTTAAAAAAAAGTCATAGAAATATCCCTCAGCTGGTTAACATAACACAGGCAGTTGCTAAATTAGCCTATTCATTTGGCCTGTGGACTGGAGCATTTACGGCACTATGCATTCAGGGAAGAGAATGATTGCTGTGCCTGGTGTTTCATACACGCTTTTCAAACCAGTGAAGACCCTGTAGTGGGATATTAAATAAAGGAAGAGCAGTTCAGTAATAAGCATTTACCAAGAGGACTGAGACAAAAACCCGTAGACAAGTTCTCTACGCCTGCATCTGTAACAAATTAATCTTTGCTATCAAAATATGAAAAAGAAATTTGGTGGAGAAATCCAGAAACATACAAGAGGAAGTTCTTGAGAAGCCAATTAGTGGGGACTAAAACATGCTTTAAAAGTGTCTTATATGTTAAAAAATCCTTTGGTGTATGTCGATAATGAATTTCAGTCTCTCATATAAATAACGGTAAAATCTGTGCTTAGGAGGAGTAGAGAAGTTCGTGATTTTTCCAGCACTCCTCCACAGATAACAAAGAGGCATTTCACAGTAGCAAGGGAATTCCTGCATATGCAGGAAAGGATGCCTCACAAATGCAGACAAAAGCCCTTACTCAGCCACAGGTTATATTGGCTTTCTCCACCAAACACCTGCCATAAAAACTAGAGCTGTAAGTAAACAAGATAGAGTAGTGAAATTTGAATTGTCAAAGTTAAGGAAAATTTTGACCTATAAAGCAAATTTGTAAACCAAAGGGAAACGTAAGTCGAGGCCATATAAACTATTTAATAATAGCAATCCTTTACAAAAGCTGGGTAATCCTTTTAAAGAACTGCTCAGGTTACAGCATCCATTTTCTCAGTGTTTAGACTAGTCCTACATTCCAGCTACAGTTCTTTGAAGAATGTGTAAAAGTCACATTTTGGAATCCAGCATTAGTATAAGAGCCACTGAAAGAAAAACGTTAATTTCCCCACAGGGAACTATATTTAATATCCAGTGATCAACCATCTAGAAAAGAACATGAAAAAAAATATGTATAACGGAATCACTTTGCTGTACAGCAGAAATTAAAACATTATAAATCAACTATACTTCAATAAAATTTTCTTAAAAATTAAAAAAAAAGATAATTTCCCAAGAGCTTGGTCAACCAGTGCTCTAAGTGCTATATTCACGTTTGATAGCATGATTCTCACTGCCCTAAATACTTGCATCTTTTTTATATGTCTTGCAACAAAGGTACTTTGACTACTAGATAAAGGCACTATAGACATAAGTAGTGGAACTCTGAGGCTGAATCTCTCTTCATTTGTCCCCCTCTGTTTTCTACGTGCTTTAGATAAAATCACATGTCTTGACTTCATTCAGTTAGGGTCAAGGAAGACTGTAAAGGGATAGGTAAGGTAAACATTTGACTTTGAAGTTTTACAGATTAACCTTTTAGAGTGGTTTAGACTTTCAGCTCACTTGATGGGAAAGCCCGATTACATTTACTCCGTCAATTTTTCTTCTCACAGAGTCCCCCTCAAAGATCCTCAGTGAGATTTCCTAACTGTTGAGATAATTAAATAGAAAATCTTGCCATATAAAGTTTATTTTCTAATACTTTTTTTTCTCACAAATATTTTGGCATTACCTTCAGCCCTAAGTGAATTAGAGTGAAGGAATGCAAAAGAAGGGTGTCAGGAAATCTGAGCTTATAGGTTGATGTGGAAATGAGGTAGGGGCTTTGAGGTGGGGACTCTGATGATGTCCCCTTCCAACAGTATCATCTCACTACAGCCCTGATTTTATCGATAAATATGTGCTCTAGGTAACGACACACTCCGTTAACACATACTCTTTCTAGCTTTTTAATAATAGTTATAATACATGTTCATGGTATAACATTTTTTTTCTAACAGTCTGGAAGAATACTGTAAAGTCAAAAGTAAAAGTCTTCCACCCTCCTCTGTTGCCCATTTTCCTTTCCCAGAGGTAATGGCTATGAAAATACTTTTGGTAAAGTTACCTTTTAAAATTGAGACCCTTGATTACCATTCAAATGTAAATGCTTCTACTTCTCTATTTTCTGCCTTTTTAAAAAGAATTGTTTTGTAGAAGTATAGTTGATTTACAATGTTGTGTTAGTTTTAGGTGTATAGCCAAGTGATTCAGTTATATATTTTTTCAGATTTTTTTCCACTGTAGGTTATTACAAGCTATTGAATGTAGCTCCTTGAGCTATACAGTAGGTCCCTGTTGCTTACCTATGTTATGTATATCGTAGTTGTATCTGGTAATCCCCATAGCCCTCACTTGTCCCCTTGGTAACCGTAAGTTTGTCTTCTATGCCTGTGAGTCTGTTTTGTATATAGATTCAGTTGTATTATTTCATTCCACTCTGACGCTGGGTCTCTGTGTGCTACCTCCACACCCAGACAACCAGCCTCCATACTGTCTGCCTTACTCCTACGCCCTTAAAGTCGTGATTCCCCCCCACCCCTGACCAAATCTCTGCTCTGCCTCCAAACCCTATGCAACCGTCCTGTTGTCCTGGCCCTTCTCACTCTATTCTGCCTCTTCGCCTTATCCGAAAGCCAACTCTGCCTTCAGCGCAGAATCTCCACTTTAGGGGAGCACCTCACCTCCAACTTCAGTGGCACTCTGCAAAGAGCTCTTCTTACTTTTAAGCACCTCTGATTCCCATTCAGTTCTATTTCAAGCCTTTAATGACCTCCAGTTTCCTTAAACTTTTTAACCTCCTTATCCAACTCACAGCAAGAGATGATTCCTCTTCCCAGCGAAAATGGAGGTAATCAAGCTTCAAAACCAGACCCTGCCCTCAAACTACAAACATCTACATCTGTAGCGTCTTCTGTTTTCCCCTCCTAGTCTTTCATTAGGAGATTCCTTTCTTGCTTATGGTTCATCTCTCCACACCTCAGGAACCTTGATCCAACAATTACTGCCTTTCTTCCCTAGCATGTTCAATATGTCAAAACTGAACTATTTCATCTTTAAAAAAAAAAGAAAAGAAAAAGAAAGAAGGTGCACCCTTGGCCCCATAGTGCTCTCTAGTGACCAGCTCAGGTTCTTCTCTGCACAGCCCAATTTCTTGAAAAGTGGCTACTTCCTTTCCTCCCATGTATTTTCGATGCACTGTTCCCACTGCATTCTGGGAAAGGTCCCTAGTGACTTCCTTCTTCTCAAATTCAGTGAACACATCAGCTGTCTCCGTGGGTCAAGTTGTAGAATGAATTTTCCTTGGTTTCAAAGATACCCTGCTCCCTTCTGACCACCTCTGGAATAAATCACTATTCCTTTCAGGACCTGTACAGGGTGTCCAACTGCCTACCTGGAATCACCTCAGCTGCCCTGCAGATACTTGAAGCCCATGGCCACAGTGCACATGCAGATCTCCACCATGGCTTCTGCACAGCTATTCCTGTAACTCAGCTCTCTGTTCCAATACCATGCATGTCCTCAGGAAGGACTTCCCTGATGATCCTTTATGTAAAAAAGCAGTACCAAAATAAAGTCTTAAAGCAATTCTTCAACCTGCCCAAGATATTTCCAATTTTCCTTTTCCTGGATTGTTTTTCTCCATAATACGTGATGCCATGTGACATAACATGTATTTACTCTGTTGTTTGTTTAGCATCTTCCTCTCTTCATTAGAATGTAAGTTTCATGAGAACAGGAACTTTACTTTGGTCATCAGCTCTTCAGAAATATTTGATGAGCGACTGAATGAATAGCTAAAGGTAAACTCTTTAATTCCTTCCACTCAAATATATCCCCTGTGTTCTCAAAGTTACTGTGTATTAGGCACAGTGCTGTGAAATGTAACATGGTGCTGTCCCAACCTAAACTTCTGAGCAGAGTGCCCTAGTGTCCAGTTCTGTTCGGTTCCTCAGCCTGTCATTTCTACCTGACAGCCTGCTTCCTCCTTTTCATCTCTTTACTACTATTTCAGTGCCTGTTATATCTCTCCAACATGACTGCCACACCTTAACTGATCACTCCAGCCTCCCGGTCTCTTCTGGAAAATCCATTTTTTGTTTTATCATCTGATCTTTTTAAACTGTAAATCCAATCATGTCACACCTTGATTAAAATCCTTAACTGTCTCTGTAGCCTTCAGGACAGTGAGAACTCCCATAATTTAACAAAGGACACATTACAAAGGGTACCTCTGCGGCATCACCTCTTCTCCCCTGCCCTTTCTCAGAGTGGATAAGAGTTAAGACGGGACTGCCTAGGTTCTAGCTCTGGCCACACAGCTCACCCACTGGTGATCTCTGGTAAGTCACTTATCTCTTCTAAGCCTCCTTTCACTTCCAGACCTGGAAAATGGAGCTGGTAATGTAATGGTATGTACCTTATCGTAACTGTACCTAGCACATAATAAGTGCCAAACAGGTAGTAGCTAGAATTATTAACATGGCTTTAAAGTCAGTCCATTCTTCACCTCTTGCCCTTCCTCAAGCTACACTTCTGCCTACTTACTCTTTTCCTCGCTATCAGGTCGTCCTTCAAGACACCTCCCCTGGTTTTGATACCCCTACAGATTTTATTAGATGCCCACTTTTTGCTCTCAGCCCCGTTTGCATATACTTCTGTCAAAATACCCGACTCACTGCCCTGTAATAATGTGTTAACTGACTGGACTCCTCCCTACCTCCCTCCACACGCTAGAAATTCTCTGAAGGCAGAGTGTGGGTGTTCTGACTTTGTTAAATTAACATTTGTTAAGTGGAGCACAGAGTACAGAATAGTGAGCCTTACTGCAACACCTGACCACAGATATGTTGAAATAGAGAAGTTTATTACAGTCCTGGAGGAAGCACCCGGAATGCCTCAAGGGGCCACATGGGGTGGCCAAGGCAGAGTGCAGACAGAGAGAGGGGACCTGGGGGACACACGTGCCTTTAGTAGGGTCTGTGGTGGAGTCCTTTGGATTCCTGGGCAAGGGCCTGATAAGTCAATTCAGACCAAAAGAGCATGGTTTTGGTAAGCCCCAGGGGGTCTTACCTAAGGGGCACATAAGGTAACCAGGCCCTGGGAGACAGGGAGACTGTTGATCACAAGGGCTGCTGGGGCTTCACGTCAGGAACTTCCATTTGCTTGTGACCTTTCACTGCTCTCCAGGGCATGTGCTTCGTTTGTGGGAGGCGCTGGTGTCAGTTTAAAGCCCCACACAAAATGCATGCCTGGCAGCAACACCATGGGGTAGCTTAGCTAGACTCTCATCATTGGGTTGCATTTATTTATCTTCCTATTTTCAGCCGAAAAAAGTGCCTGGGATACAGCAGACACTCCAACAATTTTGCTCAAAGAAATGAAATGAAACTTTTATCAATATTTATTGTCTTAGCATTTAAGAGGTACCACCGTCAGGCCCCAACACGCATTTTCAGCTTTATTTCCTGATATTAGCTGCCAGACTGAACTCTTCCTCGCTCATCTCACCAAGTGCAAACCCTGCCTCTCCCCCAGGGTTCTCTTCCAACTCCGTTTCCTAAATGAGGCCCGCCCTCATCCAAAGAGCTTAAAATAATGTTCCACTCTCAACAGTCACTGCATTTTTTTCAGTAGGTTTTTAATGTCATTTATCATATTCTACTTTATTTCATCAAATTTTACCAGTACTGGAATGTGAGCTCCTTGAAGATAAGACTTGGCCCCTAAAGTTTAGCCTATAAACCTTTATAGTGTGTGAATAGCGGAAAGCAGCTTGAAGTATAGGGGATTCTTGCATGGACTATAGTATCTGTAGGACGTCTTGCTCAAGACTAAATAAAATATAGAAAATTACTGTTTTCTCAGTTAATCATAGTCTAGTGTCCGAAGACCATGTCAGAGAAAATCCCTAATGTTCCTAATTTACCGATGAAATAAAACTTTTTTATAAAGACCCTGATGCCTTTATGATAATATATACAATATAACATACTGAATACTTAAATAGACAGCTATGTTTTACATATATATTATTATAATACATGTACATTCCCCTATGCAAAATATGTATATGATGGACTAAAGCCACATTTCAGAGTATTCTTCACTTTGGAAACTGATTTCTCATTACAAAGTGTGTAATAATTCTTTTTGCAGATACCTTAGCTGTTGTCTAACGTGTGTAGGAATCTAAAATTTCTTTGTAGCATAAATTTTTTGTTTGTTCTCAATTATGTACTCAATTAGTGACCTAGTGATATCAGGTAAACTTTATTATTGCATAGCAGTAATGTATTTGAGAAATATATTATTCTTAGACAATAACAAGAGAATATTTTTTAAGTGACTTGAGAAAAACAAAATCACTTATCGTTAACTCCTTCAATACATTCCACTTTTGGATGTATTTTTTTTTAATGGTGATGTGTGATATTGAATGCCACAATTCTCTCCACACTACCAACAATATCAAAATGTGAGATGAATTCTAAACTTTCCTGATCTTAACAAAATTATTAGCAATTTTCACCAGAAACATTAAAAATCTTGTCAGTGTATCTACAATTCCTCAGAATATTGCTAATTTATAATTAAAATCCTTGAGAGCTTACCTGTTACCACTCAGAATATTTATAAATAAAATAATAATGCAAACCACATGTCTTCTGCTTTGCTTTGTTAAAATTCTATTAGAGAAGAGAAATAGGCAGAATAGACAGGCTTTCCCAAGGCCTCCTTCACTGGTCTTGGCCCTGCACACCTGTGGTCATGCCTAGAGCTTGGGTCAGCCACTGCCACTATTCTAACCCCATCAGGCCTTCCAGAGCATTGACCCTTGACTGGTCCCTTTCTCCTGCTAAGACTGTATAATTCATTAGTTCCATAATTGCTGCCAGTATTACACGTTTTCCTGCTGCTCTGTTTTCATCTCATTGTTCTGGAAGGATCCTGAAGTCTTCAAACAGGTATGTTATTGCTGCTGGAGAATACATAAGAAGTCAGATTGGAAATGCTTCAAATTCTTCAGTGAATCCCAAACTGTACAGCAAACCTACATATCTGTGGTCAACTTGCTGCCTTGCGCTCCACAATAACTGCTTCTAACTTCTTCTATTCACCTCAAATTTTAGGCCCTAATCTTCAGGCAGATGGCCTTGCCTCATATCACAGAGAAAAGAGAAGTCATCACATGGTATATCCCTCAGCCTTCAAGTATAAAGCAAGACTCCCATCCAATCCCTCTCCTACTCTGCCCACCCTGACCCTCCTCTTCCTCTGGGTTTCATGGAAGGTCTGACCGTTGCTCCATCTGTGTATGGATCCCTTCCCTTCCCACTTTCTCAGGAATCTCAAAGTGCCGCTTTCACACTGTCTTCATGCTCTCTGCCCTCTGGATCGTCGTGTCGACACGGAGGTGAGGTTTAAACGCTGGTTAGGCTACATAGTAAAACCACACACGCACACACTCCTTAGTCCAGGCTCTCGAATGAGTCTTCTGTACCCCTCGTCTCCAATTCATTATTTTCCATGCACATTTTAACCTACTCTAATCTTACGCCTTCTTTAAAATAACGTCAAGCATCTTCATTTGCTTAGTTTTCCCTCTGATTTCTCAGCAGAATTTAGCAACTGACTACACTCAATCTGCAAAAATCCCTTCCCTTAAATTCCAGGATACCACACTTATACTTTTCTGCTAAATTCTCAGCTGACTCTCTGGCTCCTAGGCAGGTGTTATCTTACCTGGAAAGACTTGCACGGCGGAGTTTCTCTACTCTCTCCTGCTCCGTTTCAGCCATTCCTTTGGCCTCCGTTACCTCTTCACGTGGAGTGGTAATACTCTGCAGGAGAAAAGGAAGATCATCTCAGTGAGAACAAGCAAAGTCTATTTATTCAGAGCTCGCTATGGCAAGGGAGTAAGCCACCATGGCTATTTGGCTATTAAGAATAATTCTGGGAGGGACGGTGGGAGGAAGGAAGGAAGGAGGGAAGGAGGGAAGGAAGGAAAAAAGAAAGAAGATAAAGTAAAATAAAATAGAGTAAAATATAATAAAGTTATTCAATTAAAAATAATTATTAAGAAAAAAATTAAAAAAAAAAACAAAAACGGACGTATAGGGCCTTAGGACAAATGGTGGAAGCAAAGCTATACAGACAAAAATCTCACACAGAAGCATACACATACACACTCACAAAAAGAGGAAAAGGGGAAAAAATCATAAATCTTGCTCTCAAAGTCCCCCTCCTCAATTTGGGATGATTCGTTGTCTAAAGGAGGGAAGAATAATTCTGTTCTGAACGTTCATGTACAAGTTTTTGTTTGAACATCTTTTCAGTTCTCTTGGGTGTATACCCAAGAGTGAAATTGCTGCATTATATGGTTACTCTGTGTTTGACTTATTGAGGAACTGCCAAACTATTTTCTACAGTGGTTACAGCAGTTTACATTCCTAACAACAATATATGTGTTGCAATTTCTCTACATTCTCACCAGTACCTGTTATTATAGCCATGCTAGTGCATGTGAAGTGGTATCTCGTGATTTTGATTTACATTTCCCTAATGACTAACAATGTAGAGCATCTTTTCATGTATCCACTGGCCGTTTGTCTATCTTCTATGGAGAAACAGCTATCCAAATCCTTTGCCCATGTTTTTCAATTGACTTACTTGTCTTTTTATTGTCAAGTTGTAAAAATTCTTTATATATTTTGAATACATGGCCCTCATCAGATATATGATTTGCAAATTAGTTTCTCCCATTCTATTGATTGTCCTTTCACTTTCTTGGTGTTGTCCTTTGAGAACAAAAGTTTTTAGTTTTTAGTTTTGTTTTGTTTTATTTTGGTTTTTTTTGCAGTACGTGGGCCTCTCACTGTTGGGGCCTCTCCCGTTGCGGAGCACAGCCTCCGGACGCGCAGGTTCAGCGGCCATGGCTCACGGGCCCAGCCGCTCCGCAGCATGTGGGATCTTCCCAGATGGGGGCACGAACCCGTGTCCCCTGCATCAGCAGGCGGACTCTCAACCACTGCGCCACCAGGGAAGCCTAAGTTTTTAGTTTTATTAAAGTCCAGTTTGTCTAGTTTTTCTTTGGTTGCTTGTACTTTATATGTTAAAACACCATTGACTAATCCAAGGTCACGTATATTTACATTTATATTTTCTTCTAAAAGTTTTATAGTTTTGTATCTTACATTTATGTCTATGATCCGTTTTGAGTTAAATTTTGTGTATGGTGTGAGGAAGGAGTCCAACTTCTTTTGCATATGGATATCCAATTGTTCTAGCACAATTTGTTGAAATTACTGTTCTTTCCCCCATTGAATTACCTTGGCACTACTGTCAAAAATCTGTTGACCACTAATGTAAGGGTTTATTTCTGGACTCTCTGTTCTATTTCATTGATGTAATGTCAATCCTTGAACTAATCCTATAATAGTTCTATTGATTATTGCATTATCATAGCAAGGTTTTTAATCAGGATGTGTGAGTTCTCCAATTTTGTAGTTCAAGATTGTTTTGGTTATTCTGGTTCCTTGAATTTCCGTATGAAGTTTAATAGCAGCTTGTCAGTTTCTGCAAAGTGGCAGCTGTGATTTGGATAGCATTATCTTTAATCTGTAGATCAATGTGGGAAGTATTGCTATCTTCACAATTATGTTTTTCAATACATGAACGTGGACCCTTGAGCAACATGGGTTTGCATTGTGTAGGTCCACTTATGTGGATTTTTTTCACTAAGTAAGTGCCACAGTCCTACACAATCCATGGTTGATTGAATCTGTGGATGTAGAACCACAGATACAGAGCGACAACTGTAAGGTTATACGCAGATTTTCAACTGTGTGAAGGGTCAGTGCCCCTAACTGCCACGTTGTTCAAGGGTCAATTGTAATCAGATCTAACTTAGTTTATCTCAACATTTTATAATTTTTTAGAATATAATTTTTATACCTCTTTTGTTTAGCTTACTCCTGATATTTTATTCTTTTGGTGCTATTGTACGTGGAATTTTCTTAATTTATATTTTTGAATTATTCATTGCTAATATACAGAACTGTAATTGATCTTTGCTTATCGACCTTATATCCTATAACCTTAATGAAATTATTAATTCTCATAGATTTTAGTAGGTCCCTTAGGATTTGCTATGTATGAGCTCATGTCATCTGCAAATAGATGTAGTTTTACTTCTTCGTTTCTAATCTGGATGCCTTTTCTTTTCCTTGTCTAATCGCCCTAACTAGTCTGGTGCAATGTTGAATAGAAGTGGTGAGAACAGACATCCTTGTCTTATTCCTCATCTTAGATGGAAAGCATTCAGTCTTTCACCATTAAGTATGATGTTATGTAAAATGTGAGGTCAAAAATGTTGCGGGAGTGAGGAGTAAAAGTGCAGATTTGTTAGAATGTGTTGGAACTTAAGGGATCCCTTAAGTGATCACTTAAGGGATCCCTTAAGTTAAAGTTTACACTTTAAACTTACACAATGTTGTTATATGTCAATTATATCTCTATTAAAGCTGGAAATAAATTTTTTAAAATGTATACTGCCTAGAGAAACCCTGGCACCAGTAATTCTCTTCCTGTAAAATATCCATGATCCTCTTAAGTGAAAATTAGTTATATTTTTCCCTACCATATATTTAAAATGTATTGCTAACTACTAATTATTAAATGGTCTTGTAGTATTAAGAATCCTCAGAACAATTTTAAAAAATTGAAGTATAGTTAATGGACAATATTACATAAGTTACAGGTGTGCAATATAGTGATTCACAATTTTGAAAGTTTATACTCCATTTATAGTTATAAAATATTGGTTATATTCCCTGTGTTGTACAATATATCACTGTAGTTTATTTTATTCATAATAGGTTGTTACTTTTAAACCCCTACCCCAATCTTGCCCCTCCCCGTTTCCCTGTCCCTAAAGGTAATCACTAGTTTGTACTCTATATCTGTGAGTCTGTTTCTTTTCTGTTATATTCACGAGTTTGTTGTATTTTTTAGATTCCACATATAAGTGATATCATACAGTATTTGTCTTTCTCTGGGACCAGTCTGTTTGTTAAATAAAATACCCCAAAGTAAGATTTTGGTTCTGATATCTTTCTTTAACCTGCTCCAAATAACCTTCTTAGCTGGTAAAAATGTCAGGAATCCATATCCATAATATTAAAAAAAAATAGTTGAGAGTATCAATGTGGGTCACTGAGCAAATCAAGATTATTAGATGAAAAATAATTTACTGTAAAACCTCCTTAATAGCATAAATTCAGACTTTTAAACAAATACAGTGCTGTATTTATATTGAAAGGTAAGAAAATATGAAGTTGTTTTCAGCACTGAAAAACCGTGGTAAATTTTCATAATTCATCAGCTATAAAAAGAAATTAAGCATGAGTAAATTGGTCTGCTGGATAGCATTTCTTATTATGTGTTTCTTTCTCCTTTGCCTCCAAATCTAGACCTTCTCTATCTAACTTCTCCAGGTCTACCAGAAGAGGAGTGAAGGAAAAGATACCCACCCACGTAACAGTGTGATTGCTTAGAAGTTTCTGTATGAAACGGAATTGTTTGAAAGCAATGGGATGGTTTATTAGTTTCACACGATTCTCTTCTTTCTGGTTTCTCTTTAGAGAGAAAATAAATTCAAAAGCAATTCCAGTCTGAAGTATAATTATTTGCTTGCATAACAAAATTCTCTTATCTTTTTCTGCACATTATTACTCTTACCTGGTTTAAGAAGAAAAACTCTTTAATGTCTTAGAACTCTCTAACAGTAAAAAGTGTAGGAGTTTAAAATTGTCCTTTCATATGCTTATAATTTTCCAAACGTATTAAAATTACTTTTTATATGTTTGAGTGATTGTAAAACAAAATCCTAAATCTGAAATCAGTTGCATTGGCTATTTGGCTTTGCAGAATAGGGAGAAAATTATTGGTTCATTGATTATTTATATAGAGAGACTAAGAAAGAAACTATTAACTGCTACCAATGTTATCTAATAGGCTTTAATGTTTATGAACGTACTTTTTACTTTGAATAGTACCCATTTATAGTTGTAAAATAAAGTCTGAAATACTAATTGTAGTTCAGTTTATATTACAGCTGAAATGTTTATTTCTGAACCTATTTTTCAACATGTCATCATAAGAAGCCAATGTCTGATTTCTTTTGAAGTTCTGTTTTATGCCCTTCATTCATCTGTATAGACAGCTTCTCAGAAAAGCCAACTTAAAATTGAAATTTAAAATACACTTATGCCAATAAAGTCTCAAGCAGAGTGATGTCTCCAGTATCTGAGTGCTCATCATTCTGCTAGGCTTTATTTGGGTGTGGTGGTGAGACATGTAAATAAAAACTCAGAGGGAATTTAAGGATATGATTACCAAAGAAGGACATTATCCTAAGTCTGAATTGTACTGATAATTAGTTGTGCTCAAGTTGTTAAATATGCTCCTAATTTGTATTTATTCAAAGACTGTTAGCTCACTGCCATAAAGTTTTAATTATTTTACTGTAAGTTAACGCTAGATATGAGATTTACATATTCATATCTTGACTAGAAATTTTACTTTGTAAACATTCTAGAGTGGGAGAAGCCATAAACCTTTAATCCCGATTTTGCCAAAATAAAAAATTGAGATTTATATATAAAGAATTTGAAATATAAACTCTGATACATGGAAGTTTGTCTCCCTTTCACAGCTTGTTAACAGTGTTTTGGGGGGATGGAAGGTGCTTATAAAAGTACTGTAATTAAATTTACACACAAATAAAAGATGTTTTATGAAATGTGTTATTTTATTATTTAAATTGGATATTTGGGGGGAA